TACTTTTTAAAACTTGAACCAACCCTATCTCCTGAGGTCACCTTTTAGCAAAATAACAAGACTGGCACACAAACTAAAGGATATTACCCATGAATATGGTGCTCCATTAAAAAACCATCTATATGAGACTATGAGGTCAATAATTACCCTTAAGCAAATATGAGAAGATAAGGGTTCAGGGAGACTACAACGTTGGAAACATAATCAGAAAGCAATTATAGAGAATGTTGATGGATTGTGAAAAATTAATGTCACTAAACAATTTGTACAGAAATTGTCAAATAGAAACATAATTTGCTATATAAACTTACACCAAAAACAAAATACATTAAAAAAAAAAGTGTATATTTTACACTTACAACATATCTCAATTTGATCTAGCTGCATCTCAAGGGCTCAATAGCCACATATGCCTAGTGGCAACTGTATTTGACAGTGTAGTACTAAAAATTTCTGATGAGATTTTAGTATAGATTGATCATGTTTAGCTGGTTTGAAGAGATGAGTTGGAGATTAGGCAGTCAGTTTATTGAATACAGCAATATAATATAACAAGAAAATAGGAAAAAAGACAAAATAAGTATAGTATGGTTTTGTTGTTAGATGCCATCATGTTTGTTCTGACTCATTCTGATAACCCTGTGTACAACAGAACAAAACACTGCCCAGTCCTGCACAAGCGTTGCTGAGGCTATCATTGCAGCCACTATTTCAATCCATCTCATTGAAGGTCTTCCCCTTTTTCACTTACCCTCTACTTCACCAAACATGCTATCTCCAGGGACTGGTCTCTTCTGACAACATGACCAAGTACAAGAGACTAACTCTGGCCATTCTTGCTTCTAAAGAGTATTCTGGTTGTACTTCCTACAAAACAGATTTGGTCATTGTTCTAGCAGTCCATGATACATTCAATAGTCTTCACCAAGGCCGTGATTCAAATGTATCAATTCTTCTGCAGTCTTCCTTATTCATTGTCCAGTTCTCAAATGGATATGTGGCTATTGAAAATACCATGGCTTGGGTCAGGGGCATCTTAGTCTTCAGAGTGACATCTTTGCTCTTTTAATACTTTAAAGAGATCTTTTGCTGCAGACTTGCCCAATGCAATATGTTGTTTGATTTCTTGACCACTGCTTCCATGGGAGTTCCTTGTGGATCCAAGTAAAATAAAATCCTTGACTACTTCAATCTTTGTTCCATTTACCATGATGTTGCTTATTGGTCCAGTTGTGAGGATTTTTGTTTTCTTTATGTTGAGGTGTAATTGATGCTCAAGGCTGTAGTCTTTGATCTTCATCAGTAAGTGCTTCAAGTCTTTGTCACTTGCAACAAGTAAGGTTGTATCATCTGCATATTGCAGGTTGTTAATGAGTCTTCCTTCAATCGTGATGCCCCACTCTTCTTCATATAGTCCATCTTCTCAGATAATTTGCTCAGCATACAGATTGAATAAGTATGATGAAAGGATACAGCCCTGATGCACACCCTTCCTGATTTTAAACCATACAGTATTCCCTCGTTCAATTGACAGCTTCTTGGTCAATGTACAGGTTCCTCATTAATACAATTAAGTGTTCTGGAATTCCCATTCTTCACAATGTTATCCATAATTTGTTATGATCCACAATCAAAAGGCTTTGCATAGTCAATAAAACACAAGTAAACATTCTTCTGGTATTCTTTGTTTCCAGCCAAGATCTGTATGTGGCATTAGCAATGATATTCCCTGTTCCATGCACTCTTCTGAATCTGGCTTGAATTTCTAGCAGTTTCCTGTTGATGTATTGCTGCAACCATTTTTTAATCACTTTCAGCAAAATTTTACTTGCATATTGATATTAATGATATATTTTGAGGTATATATTGAAAAGCAATTAAAAGAATGAGGTATGTACTATGAGTATGTACTAATAAAGATAGCTCTTTCCAACCTTCAAATTTAATTGAAAGAAAAGATAAATGCAAAACTAAACAAACAGCATATCAAACACATATGTATGTGTATGTATGTATGTAAAGACATAGAAGAAATCTAGAAAATTAAAAATTAACTGGACAATTGAGGTTACCCTTGGAGAAATATGGAGGCAACATTAATTAAGAGTTGTGGGAAGAATCAAAGGAGATATAAGCCTTTTTTGGAATATCTAAACTTGGAAGGTGGGGAAATCTACTTCCGTAGTGATACTGCCTCAGAAACCCAAGGAGGGGTCCCTATGAGTCAGGTCCGACTGGAAGGCACATAACAACAACAGTAACAACAAACTTTTGTTGCTGTTTTTAAAATAAGGAAGTGTTCAGAGTAATTTATATAACGTTGAATTTAATAAGAAAAGGAGTGGATCTAAGAGATAGTGAATAAAATAATCGAATAGGATACAAAGAGGAAATTCAACTTCTTTTACATTCCTGAAATTTGCAGGTATAATGAGATATAATTAACAAAACTCAGATAAATTTGAATGTTCTTAAGAAAAAAAAAATTAAAGACACAGTACACCTAATGTCCATTTGGCTAATGTCTGACTGTATACACATATATCATCCCATAAGGTTATTCTAGAGTTCAGAAATCCCAATCAGAGGATAGGTTATAGCGAACACATCTTCCCTCATGCAACAAATGTATCTCATGCCTCTTGTACACAAAGTGATGGAGCTGCAAGGCATATAATGGTACAGAACATATATAACCCATAATATATATGCCTTGGTAGGCATAATAAATACATATGTAACTGGTTTATGTATAGAAAGTGCACTGTACTTTCTATCTAATAAATTAACCTGATAACTGTGTATGCTTTGACTCATAGGCAGCAGCAAGCAAGGTTGTGTTATCTACATGTAACAGGGTGTTAAAAGAATCTTCCTCCACTCTTGTTGCCACATTCTTCTTCATATAGTCCAGTGTGTATTGGTCCTCCCTTAAGTGTCGTAGTGTTATCTGTTTAATTTTCTTTTGAAAATATTACCATGAAGTGCTTCATGGCTCCCAAATACAGTAAAACCAGAGCTAGTGATAGCAGCAGTAAGAGGCAAGGGAGAAGTATCAATCTGTAGGTGAAAGAAAAGGGTAGTAAGCAACATGAAGGTGGAAAATCAGTGACTGCTATTGCTTGCTATTTAGGCATGTTACACTCAACAATCACGAAGAACCTCAAAAACAGAGAAAACAGTCTCCAAGCTGTTAAAGGATCTGTTCCACTGAAAGCTGCACAGCTAACAAAAATGTGAGAGGGATTTATATCAGATATGGAGAATTGGCTAGTGACACGACTGAAGCCCAAACACAAAAGCAAATCCCAGTCAGTTGATCATTACCGCTAAGGCACAAAGCTTGTTCAAGATGCTTACACAAAAGCAGGACCAGACTACTTATGGTGTTCACACAACATTCAAATCACATAACATTCTATAGTTGAATCCTTTCACCATACTTATTCAATCTGTATACTGTGCAAAGAATCCAAGAAGCTAGACTAAATGAAGAAGAACATGGAACCAGGATTGGAGGAAGACTAACAATCTGTACTATGCAATTTTGCTTGTGAAAGTGAAGATGACCTGAAGCACTTACTGATGAAGATTAAAGACTACAGCCTTCAGTATGGATTATACCTCAACATAAAGAAGACAAAAATCCTCACAACTGGACCAATAAGCAACATCATGATAAATGGAGAAAAGGTTGAAGTTGTAAAGGATTTCATCTTACTTGGATCCACAAAGAACTCAATAGAATCAGAAGCCAAAAAAGCAAAGCTATGGCATTGGGCAAGATGCCACTTTGAAGACTAAGGTGCACCTGACCTAAGCCATGATATTTTCAGTCACCTCATATGCATGTGAAAGTGGGTCAATGAATAAGGAAGACCAAAGAAAAATGGATGCCTTTGAATTATGGTGTTGGTGAAGAGTAGAGAATATATCATGGACAGCCAGAAGGACAAACAAATCCGTCTTGGAAGAAGTACATCCAGAATGCTCTTTAGAAGCTTGAATGACAAGACTTCCTCTCATGTACTTTGGACATGTTATCAAGAGGAAACATGTTAGCAGTTACAGAAAAAAGACATCAGCCTTGGTAAAGCAGAGAGTCAGGGAAAAAGAGGAAGACTCTCAATGTGATGGATTGACAAAGTAGCTGCAACAATGGTGTCACACTTAGCAACAATTGTGAAAATGGCGCAAGACCAGGCTATGTTTCATTCTTTTGTACATAGGGTTGCTGTGAGTTGAAACTAACTACAACAGATGACAACAACACTGTGAGTGCTTAACAATGCATAGTTGTATATGTGTGTCGGGGGGAATAATCGATACCAAAACCAAATAGCATCCCACTGCCATAGCATCAATTCCAATTCATAGTGACTCTATAGGGCAGAGTAGAACTACCCTGTCGAGTTTCCAAGGCTGTATATCTTCCTGGAAGCCAGCCGCCTCATCGTTCTCGCAGTGGCTGGTGGGTTCTAACTGCCGACCTTTTAGTTAGCAGCCCATTGCTCACCCCACAGCACCATCAGAGCTCCTTAACTTGCACTAAAGTAAGGCTAAATAAGAGCTACATGCACCTGTTGCAACTCACCTACAAATTCCACTTAAAAACTGAAGGACACAGAAACAGATCTCATTTGACTGCCTGTACTTAAAAAGCACTGGAGAATTTTAGTAAACACATTCTGTGGTAATAATGGAATGCAACATTTCAGAATAGCAATACATTACATGGTTGCTGTGTTTCCCAACTGCTGGCTCTAGCTTTTATTATACAAGAGAAATTGCAACAAATCTTGGCAGAGGGGTTTTTTTGTTCTGTTTTGTTTTGAATACATTGCTTCTACATAGTGATTCTGCTAGTGGACCCTCGCTTGGCTGGCAATTAAACATGACACTTCTCATTGGGTGTTTTCAAGACTGCTACAGGGAATCAGCTGCCAGTTTACTGCCATGTGGAAAACTGCACGAGATTCTGGGACTGGAATAAAAATGCTAATTAAAAAGGTCAAGTAAAGCAGCGGCTCAACTTCTTCGGATGCCTGTGCTCTTGGCCGACAGAAGCAGACAAAGCCCCAGCAAGAGGAGGCAGAGGTACACTGAGAGCATTTCCAAACCAGTTTTCCTGAAATAACTTTGGAATCATGCCTGAAATGCCGGAGGACATGGAACAGGTAAGAGCCAACTATTCAAGAAATTTAACACTCTAGAGTGATTTGAAAGCATCCCAGTGCACTCCTGGTGAAAGCAGAACAGATGTGTAAAGAAACTATTAATGGATCATTAAAAATATATATATCCTGCTAACATGGAATAAACCAACTTTAGCTGTTGACCAAGGAAACCAGATTATGGCGATTTTGGCTAAATCACACTAATTTAGAAAAATGAAGTGCAAAACGGAGCAGCAGTTTCACTTACTTAGTATAAATGCAGTGATGTATGTGAAGGTTCTACATAGTTACCAATTGAGTTATGTACTCCAGCCTTTCTTTGTCTTGGCATGAATTGAAACTGCCAGCATAACTTTTAGTTCTCTTTAAAGTTGTAGACTTAGGGCATGAACTTTGTATTGTTTGTATAATGATCATGTTTTATTCATATAGAATCTTTCATTATTAAAGAGAATAATTAAAAAAAACATAGGTATATGTATCTAGAAGTATATACCCAACTTTTACCTGGCAAGTATCCAAATTCAGACTCAGAAGGTAGTCAAAGTTTTTGTTCCCCTCTAGATAAGCCTGCTTTGAAAATCGCAGTAATTGTGCATGCATGTGTTGAACACTTGATTTTATGTTTTCCTAAAAAGGTTAGATTGAATCACACGTTGCAAGTAGAAAGTTTAAACAAAATTTCCAGTTTTCTTAAGTCAGGAAGATTTAGAGGCCCTTTATGCCCCTAACCCCGCCTCACACACACAATTCTCTTTGTTGTCTGCTGATTGTGCGTGTTTAGTACTAGGGTAATGCAGTCCAGGACTCCCTAAAGAAATAAAGTCATTAACAATAACAACCTGGATTAAAACAAAAATACCGAAAAATGAAAGGACCTCAGACTCTTCTGTTACTGTCCCAAAGAAACTAGGTTTACACAAATAAGGAAATGGGCTTTTGTTGGGGGTTGGGTAGGAAGGCAAGTCACAGAGCTCAGACTTGGTGTAGAGTAGTAAAAGTAGAAAAACTTTTAAAGAAGTTGCTGAGTATTTAGCTCTAAAATAAACCAAAAAGGATATGAAAACAGTGCTTTCTTGGATAAATCCAAATAGCAGTTACCTTTGTGGGCGACTTTTAAATCTTGGGGAAAATCCATCTGTGTTTGTTTTTGTTTTTTTCTTGCATAAAGTTTCCAAGGCACCCTGGCGCGCGGGAAATTTCTGCGGGCTAGAATTGGAAGCGAGACCTGCTAAGTCGGCCTCAACAAGTAGGGCTATTGCTTTTCGAATTGTTAATTTCAAAAAGCGATACAGGTGATTGTTTAGTATTATTTTTCCTTGTGGTTCTTTCCTTTAATTTGCCACAGCTGCTGAGGCTTGGATTTGTTCCCTAAAGCTTCAGCCCCCAAGGTAGTTCTTGTGAGAGGGTGGTCTTTACTCCTGTTAAATCCATTAAGATATGGAATCTCGGACTCCCTCAGATTTTCATGCTGTAATTATGGTGCAAGGTCCAAGACTGTATTTTGAAGAGGTACCCAAAGAATCCATCTCCCTCATCCACACAACTTTTTTTTTTCTTTTTAATTTTTAAGGAGTTAAATTTCTTCTGCAAAAGAAATTGCAATAAGCCTGCACAGGAGGTACATATGTTTGACATTTTTGAAAATTCACACATAATACTGAGATAGCTACTGGATAGCCTTAGCTGAAAATGGAAGTTTTTAGGAAATAACCACTTATGAATATGTTAACAGTGATCTTTACTGTAGTTTCTGGAACTGCTTGAGCAACAGCCCCCACTCCACACCCTCCACCTCCTCCTAACTAACTGAAGTAGAGACTTTCCCTATGGCCTAGAACCAGCCCATCCAGGGTACACAGGTGCAGAAACATTCCCTCTTGCCCTAGAGATGACCTAGTGACATGTCCTCTGCAAAAACTCCCTCATCAAGCACATTTAAGATCTCCAGTTTTTGAACATGGGATGTGTGTGCAAGCATGCTGCATCCTTACTTTGCCCCTGTTCCATGGTCATGACCCCTTCTCATAACTTTCCTAAAGCCTAAAAGAAAAAGCAAGCTGAAGCCCCTTTGAATTTACTTGGCGACCGCAGTCCCAGATATTCCTTTGTGTTGGCTTTCCAAATAAAGATTCTTTCTTTGCCTCAACCTGAGTCTACAATTCTGTAAGCCACACCGAAAAGAAACTGAACCTGGATTAGTGGTTACATTATCTGGTGAGCCAGCTAGAAGTGCTGTTTGGTGACCGGTGGTCGGTCCATGCCTACCTGGGCCGAGAAGAAGGCCTTGTGCCACTGGAGATTTCTCCCCAGAGCCCTAGACCCATGACCCGGGTGAACGCTGTCCAGACCCTATGGTGGCTCCTAGAGAGGCAATGAAAGAATCTTTCCTCCAGTAAGCTTTTATCTGTTCTGGTTAGGAGTTTTGAGTTTGTAATTTGGTCATTATTAATCAAGCTTGAAGTTGCTGCTGTTATGCCTGCGTTGAGGGCAGCAGTAGGAAAAGTGAAAGCAGTGCTTGTGGCTGTAAGCATTAGGATTGTTGACTGACTTGTGTGTTTGCCGGCTCCCCTGTCCTGAAATTCTGATTCTGTTTCTTTGTAATCACTTTTGAGATGGGTAAGAACCAGCTATACCAGAGTTGAATCCCTTAGGATGTATTTTGAAACACTGAAATAAATTTGGCTAGGACCTCATGAAAAAGCAGCTGTTATTCTTAAGCAGGACTGCTTGGCCGCAATACAACTTAGGCAACCAAGAGCTCTGCCCATGCTGAAAATTTTAATACTATTTTGCAGTTTCATTTGTTTTGTTCCCACACAGGCAAATGGAATGAGAAAATGTACTTAGAGGCCTTCATTTGTACAATGATAGAGAAACTCACAAGTTTGTAAGATTTGTGTTCAGTCTTCCACTAAAGGTTAAGCAGCCTTCAGCTCCTCCCTTATTATTGCCCAGAGGAGCAGATCCCTATGACCCCTTGGGCTCACTGAACCCTCCTCCTCTGTATCCGTCTGAGCCAGACTTTACTTTCAAGCGGGAGGCTCCCTAATTTCCCCACCCCACACCTGGCAGGGGATGCTCTCTCAGGGACCCAATTCAATCTGGGCAGGTCCAGAGACTGGACCAGGCAATGGGGATGTGACTAGAGGCCAATACCTTCTTTATCAAACCTCTACAGGGGGAGGAGATGGTTAGGATGCATGTGCCTTTTAGCGCAGCAGACTTGTACAATTGGAAAAACTATACTCCCAGGTGCCACAAGGACTCAGGCAAAGTAAACTATTCACCTGTGTTTTTAAATCCTTTGACCCAATGTGGGCTGAGTACCAGTCACTTTTGACTACTCTGTTAACCCTGGAAGAACAGAGATTGGTGATGAGCCATGCACAAGAGGAGACACAGAGGCAGAGCAATGCCCCACAACTAGTGGCAGGAGTCTGAGATGGAGTACATAAACCACAGAACTTTAACAAGGTGTATGAGATTAGACTAAAGGAGGATGAGGACCCCTCTGCCTTCCTAGAAAGAATTTTTACAACTTTTTGACAGTATACTGATTTGGACTCTGAAAGCCCACATAATGCTAAGATGATAAACACTATGTTCATCAGACAGAGCTCTCCCAACATTGGGAAAAAACTATAGAAAACCGAGGGGAGCATGATCATGGGCTTGGGCATTTAGTGGAATTAGCATTTAGTTCATAGCAATAGAGAGAAAGTGAAAGAAAAGGAACAGGAAGCTAAAGAAGATTGCTGTGTCCAATGCCAGGTGGCAGTGCTGGCTGCACCCCTACAGAGCAAGCAGATGTTGTTGTTGTTAGATGCCCTTGAGTCGGCTCTGACTCATAGAGACCCTATATACAACAGAACGAAACACTGCCCAGTCCTCTACCAACCTCACAATCCTTGCTATACCTGAGCCCATTGCTGCAGCCACTGTGTCAATCCATCTTGTTAAGGGCCTTCCCCTTCTTCGTTGACCCTCTACTTTACCAAGCATGATACCTTTCTCCAGAAAATGGTCACGTCTGACAACATGACCAAAGTAGGTGAGACAAAGTCTGGCCATTTGCGCTTCCAAGGAGCATTGAGATAGACAAAGGAAAAGGAGGGACCCAGCCGAGTGTGAGCCCCACTGGGGAAAAACCAGTGTGCATATTGCAAAGAGGAAGAACACTGGAAAAGGGACTACCCAAAGAAGCCAGCTGCTTCCTAGCTCCCGGCCTTGGCAAGAGACAGTGACTCAGAATGAGGGAGACGGTAGGGAGGCTGTCCACCTGAACCTCTGGTTATACTTGATGTAGAGGGAAATCCAGTCAAGTTCTTGGTAGATACAGGGCCACTCATTCAGTATTAAACCGCCTGATGGGGGCCTATCCTCCAGGAAGATATCAGATGTTGGAATATCTGGGAAAGAGGAGACCTGGTCATTTTTGCAGCCTTTAAGCTGTGCTCTCCCAGGGAAAGCTTGGACACTAACATACTGCTTTCTACACATATCAGAGTGCCCCATTTCCCCGCTTGAGAGAAATTTTCTGAGCAAAGTACAGGCAGAGATTAATTAGCTCTGTGGGAGGCCAATGCTCTTAGTCAGCCCTACAGCCCCCTTTCCTTAGGAGCTTCCTCTGCATGTGGTCAAACTGGGGAGCTGGGTCTATGTGAAAGCCTGGAACCCTGAGGGCCTCACAGAGAAGTAGAAAGGACCCTGTGAAGTCTTGCTTTCCACACCTGCTGCAGTGAAAGTGAGCAGCAGAAGCACATGGATCCACCACACCAGGATTAAGATGGCCCCCGCACCAGTGATTATTCTGCAGAACCCATCTGGCACTGGTGCCTCAGCGTGCTGGGGGACAACCCCATTGGAAGGACTTAAAGGGCTCTACAAGAACACTCAGCCTCCAGATATGTAGATGCCACTCTGGGCTGAAGTTAAAGCTGTCTTATTTTTGTTGTTTTTTGTTTTGCTGCTTTAATTAAAGTAGTAGGAGCTCAGGC